ATAAAGCTGCAGGTTTCATCACATGCGCCAGACAAATCTACAGGACTAGTTTCAGTATTTCTCTTTTAAAAAACTTATTTTAAGCCTATTATATCACACAGTATGTTTTCTACACTGACATATAACTTCCTAATCAGATAAAACAAAGACAAAAAAGTTTATCTTATTAGAAACAAGATACACCATCACTTACTGTCTTCAAACATTATTGCACTTTAATTGGACAAAGCATTCATGAAACAGTCTGCAGACTAGTTTTAACAGAAAAACAACACCTGTAAGCAGACACGACTGTCCTAAATTGTTTATTAGTTATGAATTTTACAAACTTTACTTATATTAGCGGTAATGGTGGGGCTGGAGAGTATTGCGCCTTCTACAAGCTGCCTGGCGAGAACCACCAATAGTGTGGTGGAACTTATGGCCCTTTCCAAGGCTGCGGCTCTTTTGGCCTACAGATGTCAGCTCACTCATCTTCTTGTGCTTGTGGACTGGTTTGGTGATCCATTGGGTGTCAAGATTTCTTCTGATAGCTTTATGGAATGGATCAATGAGAATAACCTCAAAAAGTTTACATGTGGAATCTTCACCAACCCAGTAAGAATTCAGGGCTCTTAGAGTCCCACAGTGGCATCCAACTTGCTCCTCTGCAACAGGCTGAAGACTTTGAGCAAACTTTAGCTGGTTAACACCATGATGGACAGGGTTGCCGTAAGATGCACCCTTAGGAGCTGGGCGTTTTGGGCCACCATGGCAAACACGAATCCTATATATAATGTAACCTTGCTTGGCCTTGTAGCCCAGTTGGCACGCTTTATCAGGCCAGGTGGGGCAGTGAGCCCTGTGGAGAGCAGAGAGCTAGCAGTACTGCCAGCAGCCGACCCTCAGAGGAAAGCACATAACATCAGACTGCTCCTTCCTCCATAGCTCCTGGATGTACTTGCATGCACCCATCTTGGCTTACCTGATGGCTGTTGCCAGATGGAAAGGGATCCAGCAATTCTATTATCACTTCTATACTCAAGAGAAATGAGTGTATTTGTCCATGAAAATACAATTTGAAACGTACACAGCTTTATTAAAAATAGAATAAAACTGAAAAAAAAGAATGCCCACAACAAAATAATGGATATGTATATACTGTGGCATATTCATACAAAAGAATAGCACATAACAATATAGAAGAACACACTAATGATGCAATAACATAAATGAATCTCACCAACACTGTTCTGAACAAAAGAAGCCAATATAAGAAAATGCACAGTAATTTTTAAAAAGGCAAAACCTAATCTAGATGTGAGAGAAGTCAGGATAACAATTAACTCTGGTTGGGTTGGGGTATCGATCAGGAAAGGGCATAAGGGCATCATCTATTATACTGGAAATATTCAATAACTTGATCTGGGTGGTAACACAAATAAAGAATGTAAATTTCACTAGTTTTCCTTTAAAATTTGTGTGCTTTACATGCATATTATACTTCAATTAAAATTTTTTTTTTAAAAATCGTACTCGTTTTTAATTCCTTATTAAAAGTTATATTTAAAAAGTTGAGTAAATCAATGAAAATATTATTTCTCATAGTATTTTACTGAAAACAAGAACAAAGAAATGTCTATATTCGCACCAAAAGGTCAGGCTACAAAAACAAAAATGAATTCATGGGACTATATTAAACTAAAAGCTTTGCACAGCAAAGGAAATAATAAGCAAAATGAAAAGGTAGCCTCTGAATTGATATAAAATATTTTCAAACCATGTATCTGATAGAGCTAATATCTAAAAGATATAAAGAACTCACACAACTCAACAGCAGAAAAACAAATAATCCCATTAAAAAATGAGCAAAGGATCCGAATAGACATTCTTCCAAAAGATACATAAATATGGTCAACAAGTATATGAAAATGTGCTCAAAATCGCTAATTATCAGGGAAATGCAAACCAAAATCATCACACCAGTGTAATGGTTATTATGAAAAAGACAAAAGATAACAAGTACGGGAGGGGGTGCAGGAAACGGAACCCTTGCACACTGTTAATGGAAATGCAGATTTCAGCCACCACAGTGAGAGACAATATATAGATTACTAAAGTAATTAAAAATAGAACTAGAGTATCATCTCACAATTCCTCTTCTGGGCGTAAGGAAAATGAAATCACCACCTCATAAAGACAGCTGCACTCCCAAGTTCACTGGAGCACTATTCAGAATATCCAAGACACAGCCAGAGAGTCCATCAACAGACAAATGGATAAAGAAAATGTACGTACAGTCATTTGCCACATAACAATGTTTCGGTCAATGCCAGACTACATATACAAAGATGGTCCCAGGTGATTACAAGAAAATTCCCATCACTAGATGTTGTAGCCATTGCAGCACAACACAATATTCATGTGTTTGTGGTGACTTTATCAAGTAAAAAAGTTCCAGTAAGCCAAAGGTAACTGATTGTTAAAGAAAAACATTTTCTATAAATGTAGTGTAGCCGACATGTCCAGTATTTATAAAGGCTACAGTAGTGTACAGCAATGTCCTGGTCCCTCACATTTACTCACCACTCACTCATTGATACAATCAGTACCACTTCCGGTTCCATTCATGGACGTGCCCTATGCAGGTGTGCCTTTTAATATCTTTTATACTGTATTTTTCCAGTAGCTTTTCTATGCTTAGATAAACAAATACTTACCATTGTGTTACAACTGCTTACGGTATAGAGTAACAATGCTGTACTGGTTCATGGCCAGGAGCAACAGACTATACCACACAGCCTAGTTGTGTAGTAGGCTACACTATCTTGGCTGTGTAAGCATACTCTATGTTGTTTGCCTAATGATAAAACTGCCTAACAATGCATTTCTCACAATGCTTCCCAATTGTTAAGTAGTGTGTGGTTGTATAAACAAAGGAATATTGTTCAGCCTTAAAAAAGGAGACCTTGACATTTGGCACAATGTAGGTAAACCTGGAGATTATTCTAAGTGAAATAAACCAAAGGAAAAAAATATTTCACGATCTCACATATATGTGGAGTATCTTTTTAAAAAGTCAAATACACAGAGATAGAGGATATTACAATGGGAACCAGGGGGTGGAGATGGGAAATGGGGAGATATGGGTCAAAGCTGCAGATATATAGGATGCAGTCTAGAGATCTAATGTATAATATGAGGACTATAGTTAATGATATTGTATTCAGAATTTTTGCCAAAGGAGAGTATCATTGCTCTTGCCACAAACAATAAAGGGGGTAACTGTGTGAGATGACATATATGCTAATTTACTTGACTACAGTAGCCAATTCTCTATGTATATGTATTAATATATCAAAACATCAACTTAAATATACACACAAAAAATAAATTTGTATGTTCTGTACTCTTTCCACAATGGTCAAGATTCCTTAAATCTTACTTGAAATTATGGTCATATTATGTAAGAGGCAAAAACATGATTTAAGGGAATATGAGAGAAGGGTAAAGATAATATAAAAGCCCTACTGAAAATGAGGAGAAAACAAAGTGTCTGTACTCTTATAAAGAGTGAAAGCCCTGCCCCTGCCCCCTTTTCCTATAGACCCCAGCAAGGAGACTGGAAGAATCCTGAGAAAGAATCCACCCAAAACAATGGCCTACAGGGACAGAGTCCCAGAGAAAGAGACTATGTTCAGCAAGGCACAATAAGTCAGCCCTGCCCACACACAGAACTTCCAACTGACTTCTTAGTGCTTACTCCTACAGATGAACAGATCCATCAGGGCCAGCAGCTGCTCCAGGAAAGACAGGAGTCCAAAAACAAAACCCAGTAAGTTTAAATGTATTTTGAGCAAATTTTCAGTTCTGCTGAAGTATTGGGGGTCAAATCAGTGATTGGTACACACACATAGACAAAAAAAAAAAAAAAAANAAAAAAAAAAAAACAGGGCAATGATGTGCTACAGAAATAGTAAAACATGTTCAAGAAAGGAAATGCAATTATCCTATAGTACACAGTTGAACTAAAATAACATCAAAAATAATAATGTAAAAACTGAGTTAACCAAAAATGCTAATAAGATTGAAAAAGGAAAAAGTCTGTGTGCCGGCAAGTGATGCTGGGAACCCAGAGGGAACACATGTGGTATGCAGGAAGAACCAATGACCATCTTCCATCTTAGGACAACAATAGTTAATATCTAAAACTGAAAAATCAAAAAAATCACAATATGAGTATGTTATTTAGAAACATGGACAGAACTGAAAGCATCTGCCTTAAGGGAATGGGAAACAGAAATAGGGCGAACATGGGTCTGTTATTTTTCCCGGGCAATAAAGCAACACTCCCGTTCTCTCTCCCTCTTCCTCTTTCTTACTCTCCTTCATTCTTTTTTATTCTTTATTTTTATTCTTTTTTATTTCTTTCTCTCTTTCCTTCTGTTTTCTTTTTTTTACTTAAAAAAAAAAAAACCTCATACCTCCATATAAGTTTTAAAACTACATGTGTATTACTTTGATGCAAATAAATAAATAAATAAATGCCAAAGAAGATAAAACCAATTTGGGAATGAAACTCTCCAACAAGGCCAAAATTTAAAGAGTTAAATTATGTTATGTTCTTTAAAAAATATAAATAAAACAATGGATTTCTCAGACTCCCCTTTTGGTCTTGTTTTATTCTCTAATTCCATATGCATGAAGCAAATCTGTTTGACCATTTCTGCCACAATGAAAAAGTGGAAATAAAATGCTTAAGAAAAATGAACTCAATATTAGCAAAAACATTTGTATCAATTACTAAAGAACCATTTTGAGAGAGTTTTTAATAGTGCTTAATAGTCATTCTGGGGGGAAAAAAAAAGCACTGCTTCATAAACCTGAAAAAGGCATATCATTTCTAATGCAGGTTCTCACAGGAACATCTACCAGAAAGAAATGCAAAGACCATAGTAAATCTTATGTAGGGACATGTCTGTTCTTTGACTCTAACTCTAATCCAATTATTGGTAACTTACCACTTCATGAATGGATCTGTTGAAGCCATCATCTTCTGTAAGGATCAACAATATTATAAGGGCCATATACACATGGTGAGAATTCCTTTCTTCAACATGATACAGAATCTCAAGAATTGGTAAAACCTAGAGAATAAAAATTATAATTGACTATTTCAATACTTCATTATAAATCCAAATGTTTTAAATCTTTACAATTTTATTTTATATTCTTTGCTTTAATATCATAATTATATTTTTCATTAGAGAAAATAAAACCATATAAACCCATTTCTGATTAATGTACTTTCCATAAGTATAGTTAAGATGCCAGTAGAGAAAATCATCACTAACTCTGTGAAGGTCTCTGAAGATCTAACCAACATAAAGGTTGGATCTGCAAAGACCATTTAGGCTCATGGTTTGTTTTGAAGATTTTAAGAAGTCACATAGCCTTCTCCCAACTTAACTAAAAAGTGGGAGTAGAGGGGAGAGCATAGCTGCTCAGAAGTTAACATTTTGTTTTATGTGCTTAGCACCACTTTTTAAAGCTAACAAGTAAAAAATATATTTCAAGAAAGATATTTAAAACAAACATGTAATTAAACAGACTCTTGCAACCCAAGGTGCGTTTTCTCAACATATGTATTAAGATCTGCTCTTCACTGTATCTGTCAAACATTTCATTTCATAATGCCATTTACATGCGGACCAATTGTGCTTATTTCAAATCATTACTTTGACACCTTCAATTGGTCAATTTGCTCCTTCTTTACTAAAGTAAGGAGGTTACTAGAAGTATTTATTAAAGATGGGCAGACTAGCTACATAGCATGTCTTGTATGAAACCATGAACACTACTGAATGCTAGAAAATAAGCAAAAAAAAATTTTTCATTGAAATCAAATAATACGTGTAATAAGTAAATTATTTATACATACAAGTCCCTAAAGCACAGGCTGATATGCAAAGCCCATCAAAATGGGCTGACATGCTGCACACTGGGGCATACGTGTTTTGGCAGGCACACCTATCATAGGAAGCTTTTAAAATGTGGCACTGGTATGTTTTATTCTTTCACAAGTTGTAGCTAAAACTTCCCCTAATTTGTGAAGTTCCGTGCATGAGCACTACTAAATTCCAGGAACAAAGTCTATCAGTTACCAAGCAGTCATTGCTCCTTCTCTTTTCCCAGGCATTCTTATCTTTGGAGTTCCTTCTGACACCGTGTCAAACATGATACACTGTACTCACAGTCCACATTACCTAGTAAGCAGTTATATTTTATAGTCATTTAACTCAACATCTGTTAATTCTGATTCTGGAGTTTTCAATACGCCACATAACAACATTTCCATTAATAATGGACAGACAACATATAATAGTTTGTGGTTGTATGGTCTCGTAAGATGATAGTACCATATTTTTACTGTACCCTTTCTATGTTTAGATACACAAATGCCATTGCGTTACAAATGCCTACAGTATTTAGTATGGTCACATGGTGTACAGTTTATGGCCTAGGAGCCACAGGCTACACCATAAAGCCTAGGTGTGTAGTTAGGCTATACAACCTAGGTTTGTGTAAGTACACTCTATATGATATTTGCACAGTGACAATATCACCTAATAAAACATTTCTCAGAATGCATCCCCACATTAAGCAACTATAACTATATATTTTAGGCCATGTTTTTTATTTTGCTAAGCCTGAAGGAAGCACATCTTATCCACAGTATGTAATATCAATAGAGTACTGAAAATATTCTTGAGACTGTACTTTACAAGTCACACAAATAAATGGTATATTCAAAGAAATAATAATATAAAAGTAAGTAACGGGTCCAATGAGTCTATGTCAGAATAGTACTTCATTCTTTTAAATATTTTTATCGAGATACAATTTACAGATTATACAATCCATTTATAGTGTGTAATTCAGTGGTTTACAATATATCCATAAAAGTATATCACCATAGTCAACTTGAAAAATTTCATTACTTCAAAAAGAAACCCCACACTGTTTAACTATCACCTCCCCCAGTCCCTTATTTGCCCTGCCCAAAAGAACCACTTTCTGTCTCTATAGATTTCCCTATTCTGGATTTCTGCATGAATAGAATCATAGACTATGTAGATTTTTGTGACTGCCTTCTTTCACTGAACATGTTACCAAGGTTTATCCATGTTGCGGTATGTATGAGGATCTCATTCCTTTTTATGTCAAGTAATATGTCATTGCATAAACATATCACATTTCACTTATCCATTCTTCTGCTGACTAACATTTGAGCTGTTTTCCTTTTTTGCTATTATGAACAATGCTGCTATAAACATACAAGTTTTCCTGCAGGCATATACTCATTTCTCTTGGATATATATGTAGCCTTGGAATTGCTGAATTATATGGTAACTGTTTAATTGTTCCAGGAAGTGCCAGACTGTTTCAAAGCCATTGCACTATTTTACATTTCCACCAACAGTGTAAGAGAGATTAGATTTCTCCACATCCTCACTTCTTATTATCTAACATTTTATCCTAGGCATCACAGTGGGAGTAAAGTCGTATTTCACTGTAGTTTTGATTTACACTTACCTGATGACTAATAATGTCAAATTTTTATTCATGTGTGTATTACTAGCTATTTGTGTATCTTCCTGGCAGAAATGTTTATTCAGATTTTTTATCCATTTTTCAATTGGACTGTCCTTATACTATTGAGTTTTAAAAGTTCTTTATATATTGTAGATACAGTTCCTTACCAGATAAGTGATCTGCAAATATTTTCTCACATTCTGTGGGCTGTTTTTTCACTTTCTTGATGGTCCTTTGAAGCACAGAAGTTTCTATTTTGATGCAGTCCAATTTACCTGTTTTTTCCTTTGTTGCTCATGCTTTTGGTGTTATATCTAACAATCATTTGCCAAATCCAAGGTCATGAAGATTTACCCCCATTTTCTTCTAAGAGAATTACAGTTTTAACTCTTTTTAGGTCTTTGACCCATTTTGAATTCATTTTGTATATGGGGTGAAGCAAAAGCCGAACTTTCATTCTTTCTCAAGTAGCTACACAGTTGCACTAGTACCATTTGTTGAAAAAACTATTCTTTCCACGTTGGTCTTGGCACCCCAGCTGTAAAAGAGTTGATGATAGGTATATGGGTTTATTTCTAGACTCTCAGTTCAACTCCACTGATGTATTATATCTATCTTTGTGCCAGTACCATGCTGTATTGATTAGTGTTGCTTTATAGCAAGTTTTGAAATCAGAAAGTATGAGTCCTCCAAATTTGCTCTTTTTCAGGCTTGTTTTGGCTATTCTTGGTCCTTTGTAATTTTATATGAATTTTTAAATCATCTCGTCAATTTCTATAGAAGTCAGCTGGGATTCTGATAGGTATTATGCTCAATGTGTACGTCAGTCCGGGGAATACTTCCATCTTAACAATGTTAAATACTATGATCAGGGCTGAGTATGGTGGTGCATGCCTGTGATCCCAGCACTTTAGGAGGTCAATGTGGGAGGACCGCTTGAGTCCAGAAGTTTAAGACCAGCCTGGGCAACACAGCAAGACCCTAGCTCTATTTTCTTTAAGTGTTGTGATCAATGAATTCTGTTTTCCCATTTCTTTTAATAATATTTTGTAGTTTTCAGAGTTTAAGTTTTGTACTTCTTTTGTTAAATTTCTGGTGCTATTATGAATAGAACTATTTTATTAACTTCATTTTGGGATTGCTCATATATAAAAATACAATTTTTTACGTACTGACTTTTTATACTGATCCAGTATCATACAATTTTGCTGAACTCATCTATTAATTCTACTAGTTTTTTAGTGGATTCCTTAGGATTTTCTATATATAAGATAATGTCATCTGCAAATACAGATAATTTTATACCTTGCTTTCCAATCTAGATATGTTTCATTTCTTTCTCTTGCTCAAATGCCCAGGCTAGAACTCCACTAAAATGTTGAATGAAATGGCGAAAAGCAGATATCCTTGTTTTGTGGATGATCTTAGGGAGAAAGAAAACATAGTCTTTTACCATTAAGTATGATCTGGGCTGTGGGGTTTTCATAGCAGCCCTTTATTAACTGGAGGAAGTTCCCTTCTATTCCTAGTTTATTAAGTATTTTTATTTTAAAAAAAAGTGACGATTTTGTCAAATGATTTTTCTGGATCTATTTAAATAATCGTATGATTTTTGTTTTTTACTCTGTTGATATGACTGACGTATCACAGTAACTGACTTTCAGAGGTCTAATCAAGCTTACATCCCTGGGATAAATACCACTTGGATACAGTATATAATTACTATTATAATTACACTTCAATTCTGAAAGAACTCTCTTAACTGAGATCTGAAAAACTACTAGGAGTTACCTGAGAAGAGGAACAAGGAGAAAATTCAAAGGAGAAGTATTCTAGAGAGAAAACCAAGTCTAAACCTAGTTAGGAGATAGGTTAGATTGAGAGAAATTAAATTAATTCATTATGATTAAATAAAGAATACAAAGAACATATGGCAAAAAGATGAGATCCAAAACGGAAGCTGTGGCAAAATTATAAAGTGTCTTGTTAGCTACATTAAAGAGTGAGAGCTTCAACCTGAAGGGACTGTGGAGCCACAAAAGTACTTTAAAAGTAGGGAAGTGACATTATCAGATGTGACTCTAATCAACTCACTCTGGAAACGGTAAAAAAGTGTTATAGAATAGCAAGACAGAAAGCAGGAAAACCAGTTAAAGATGTTGCAATAATTGAAGCCAGAGATGAAGGCAGTTTAAACCAAAGGAATGGAAATCAGGAAAAAGAACACTAAAACATTCCAAAGACAATAAGAAAATAAAAAAGATTTGGTTGGATATGGGGAAATAAAACAGAGGAGTCAAAGCTTTTGCCAACTATGAATGGCTTACTGTGATACGGAATACAGGAGTAAGAGAAGGAAGGGCAGGAAAAATAATGAGCCCAATTTTTACGTTTGGTTTAAGATGCCTATGAGACAGCCACTGGGAAATGTCTGGGGCAGCTGGATACATGGATATAAGACAAAGGCAATCAGGACTGCAAACATAGAACTGAAAATATATGGCTCATATAAACAGGAACATATACACTGGCAGCATATGGCATTGAATTTGCTTAGATGTTTTAGGGAGAAATACAGAGAAAAAACAAAAAGGAGGACAGAACCCTGCAGTAGGACACATTTATTTAAGGACAAGGGAAAATAATACACAAAAGAGAGAGAAAAGCAGTAGGCATAGAGGTGGGAAAACCCGCAGACTAGAATGATCAGAAACCTAATGTGTATATATATATATATATATATTCTTTTTTTTTTTTTAATAATGAACTTGATTGCTAAGGTATATATTTATAGACGTATGAACTGCATGTTTGGGCCCCCAAAATTCGTATGTTGAAACCCTAACCCTCAAAAGGACATTATAAAGAGGCAGAGCCTTTGGGAGGTGATTAGGTAATAGGGGTGGAGTCCTCGTGATGGGATTAGTACCCTTATAGGAAGAGATAGGAGAGAGCTTGCTTTTTTGCCACTGCTCACGGCCATGTGAGGACACAGTAAGTACAGCTAGTGCTTGACTTACGACCATGATTGGTTCCGACAGGCCGGTTGTAACACGATTTGGTCGTAAGTTGAGTGGGCTATATGTACAGTACTGTGAAATGATGTTATAAAAATCTTTAAGTCATATTTTAACATAATTTTCTTTCATTATTGTTACATAATTTTCTTTGTTCATTTTATGCCATTTGTATCATCTCTACACCATTTTGCGGAAGCTGGTCTGCACTGCCGTATGCCCAGCTGGGCAACGTTTGTGCTGCCAGACGCGGAGCAGTCGTGGCTAGCGATTGTGGTCGTAAAGTTGAATGGTCGTAAATTGCATAGGTCGATCAATGCCTGTAGATGACTATTGACAAACCAGGAAGCAGGCCTGGTCGTAAAGTTGAATGGTCGTAAATTGCATAAGTCGATCAATGCCTGTAGATGACTATTGACAAACCAGGAAGCAGGCCTGCACTGGACACCAAGGGGCTGATATCTCTATCTTGGAAATCCCAGCCTACACAACTGTGAGAAATAAGTCTCTGTTATTTAAGCACCAGTCTGTGGTATGTTTGCTAAAGCAGTCAGGACTGACTAAATTCTGAACTAAGCCAGAACTGACTAAGACAAAGGTATTCAGCAGTTTAAAGAATAAAGAGATGAACAGTGTCATATGCAGCTGTGCGGTCAAATAAGATAATGATGAAACATGCCCAAAGATTTACTAACAATTATGAGCTGCCGATGAGGGAGCTGTAGGAACAGATGTTACCTCACAAAAGGTAGAAAAGTGCACAAGAAGTAAAGGCAAAGAATGTGGTTCAAGGCTTTTAAGAAACTTAGCATGAAAAGGAAAAGAGAAAAGGGCTAAACAAATACTTTTCCTTTTTGATTTTTACATAAAAACACTCAGAAAATAAAGGACTATTAGTTCATCTAAAACAAGATATAAAGATCCCATGTCATTTCTTTTACAATTAATGACAAATCATAATCACTGTAAACATTAATCTCATTTTCTAAGTGTGTCTTCAGTGAAGTCTCAAATGAGTAAGATATCAAAATGACAAGAGCTGCATATCTGCAGTATCTGTGCAGGCTCAAGGCTTGACCCAAAAGCAGATGACTACTAGAGGCCTAAGGGAAATACCAGCCTAATCTCTGCTGGACTAACGCAAACAGAAATTGAAAGAGCAACTAACTCACAATGCCCTGACTACGGAAGTTACAAGCAACGCTGTGTTGAAGTGACTATATATTTATTTTCCAAGATCTCTTCCTTAAGGAATTTCCCTCTACCCTTGTGGGGTAGACTTCCACAGTCATTGGTCAAATAAGTGGATACACAACCTTTGGAGCCCTTCGTGAAATATTTCTGAAGTAGTCATATAATCTTTCTTCCTTTTAGCTTATGAGCTGCAATATGGACATATGGACAAAGTTGCTGCTGACCACCTCTCTCCCCACTTGTAAAGTGTGTGCCTGAAAATAAGGCCAAAGCTACAGAAGGCAGAGGCAAAGGATGGAGAGGCCAAGCCTGGATAATATCATTTAGCCCCTAGGACCAGCTATGACTGAAGCCAAAAAAAAAAGGCACAAATTTTTCATTTGTACAAATATATTTCTGTTTATGTAGGCATAAGTGGGTTTGTTACAACTAAAAGAATCATGATTATCTCAAATGTCTAGCTACTTTCCTTGGTAATCATTTGCTTGTGGTAAAATATAAAAATTGTGTTCACATCCATAATGGGTTTTTCTAAAAAAATGTCCTCTTAAGCCCTGTTCTTAATATTCACGGACTTGGATTCACCCCAGACACTAATCAGAGACATAAAAAGAAAATGCAAGTCATTGTATTGTTGTTCTAATAGATACCAATTGAGAATGTACCATAAGAAGTTATACCAGATTAATGAACTTGTATTAAATTAAAACAAGTCAATCAGTAGTGAGTCAGACCATCAGTAGAAAGCATCCAAATCAGCCAACACCTGACGCTGAATAGAGGCAGGTCTATCTCCAGCCTTACAGGATTTACACACAATAAAGTATTTCTTACAAACACTGTCATCTGTCAAACATTACCTTCTTAATTTCAAAGACTGCAGAATAAAAAGATTGATAACCACAACAACATCAGATCAGCACAGTAAATTTCCTACTGATAATATATTTTCTAATCAAAGCCTTAGCATATTTATTATAGAAGAAAGGCAAAAGGACAGATGGGGCATAAATTAGAGAAATTATCCAACAAAACCAGAACAAGTAAACACCAGCCTCCAAAAAAACTACAACACAAAACTTTTTAACTTTTCACCGGGCACATCATCAAACACAGAGGCAGCTGCTCCCTGCACCATCTTATATACCCGCATCCTTACCATACAACTTTCTGAAACAGGTGATGACACAGGCTTCCTGCTTAATGCCAACATTTCCCTTAGAATACATCACACTCAGAATTGTCTCTAGGCCTATACACACTCATCCGGAAACAAGCCTTCTCTTTACAGGATTTTACTCATATGAGCAGTGTACTTTCACACTCAATTTGCTATTTAAGCAATGCTTTCCACATAGACCTGACGTGGAGAGACAGACGCGTTCAGCACACTTTTTGTTCTTAGTGTCAATATGATGCAGAATATGTTCAATGAATTCTAATATTCCATGTTTCTTCACTATTTACACGGTATTTTACATTTAACACTGAAAAAATGGTAATCAAATACTGGGAGAGTCCTGCTATCAACCTGTAAAAACTGATACAGAGGGGACATTTCATTGCTATCAACCAGCTACCAGCTATTTCGAGAATGTTCACATTTTTATGAATGTATTAAGGGTCCATAGTTATCTACATACTATGTATTTCAAACAACATTAACACCTTGGTGAGATAGCCTACTCTGCCCTTCATAGAAACACTGATGTTTGCACATTAGTCATAAAGGAAATTAATTATTGATTACAGGAGTTTTTGTTTATGAACAAAAATTTGAGAACTAATTTCACTCATGTAGCGATGGATGGTGTAATTTAAGTGATATCTGACAAAGGTATCTTAAAATGACTATCACACTCCAGGGAGTGAGTTCAGACAGTCCTAAAGTCTAAGCCTGACAAAGGGGATAGGATATTTGGGCAGCTGAGTTGAAACATCACTTTTCTTTCAGCATTCTCATCAGGAATAAGCTGCAATCGTAACGAGTGACATGAACTTGGTGTGCAGGCACTTAGCAGATGGAAGGGACCAAGGTGATTTAAAAATCTCCTTGAGAATTGCAGAGGCTCTTGGAAGACTTGAACAGGCTGAATCCTGGGCAACAGGTGGCTGTTAAAGACTGTAAGGACAGGGAAGTGTATCAAGCCAGCCAGGGATGCTGCTGTGTCCTGCTCTTGGAGGCCACCTCCACATGAGCTGTCTCTTAGGCTGGAGAAGCTCCTACCCTCTGTCTGTGTCTAGATCATCACATTTGTGGCAATCAGGCAAATATACTTGTCCTCTTGGGAAAAGAAGTGTTTCTTCAAAATACTATAAAATACAAATGCATGGAACGTTTAGTATGATACTTACAAGATTTTCCATATCTGTGCGAGCCAACATGTATGTTCTAATATTACTATTTTGATGGAGCAATGTATACAAGAGCAGAGTTGCTTGATCAGATGTCTGCTGTTCACAAAGAGCTGTGTACAAACTATTAAAGTTGATCTGGAAGGCATGTGGAATTGATGAGGGGAAAGGACTGCTATCTGGAATACAGAAAACAGCACATCAGTATTTTCTAGCTATGCTTTATATAAATAAAAATACTGTTAAGTAATGTGCACAACTCAATTCCCATTCATTTTATGAAAAGTCACTACATTTCAGGTTCAAAATTTTAATTTGTATAAAATTTACTTTAAAAAGAACTAAACTAAATCATATAGTTTGACTTTATTACTATTTTCCCTTAACATAGCCAAAGTAAATCAGCTATAAGAACATGAACTTAAATAAACAGAATTATGAGCCAGGCAAAAGGCCCTCCCATCAATATAATTTAACCAGGACATCGACATGAAATACTGTGTACCAAAACTAAATAACCATCAGTCCTAAATAAAGGTATATAGAGAGAAAAGATGTAATTTCCACACAAAATGGAAAATTCTTTTAAGATAGAATTAAAAAGAAAAATTGCCTTTAAAGCTGGGTTTTCTTCAAATGAATAAATTGTGGGTGAAGTATCTACTTATATCAAGCTCAGTACGGATATTCTTCAACTTACAATGGGGTCATATTCGCATAAATTAATCATTAAGTTGAAAATATTCTAAGTTGAAAATGCATTTAATACACCTAACCTACCAAATATCATAGCGTAGCCTAGCCTAATTTATTTGTATATAGCTCTAAATTGTATTAATCCAACTGAAAACAGCAGGCCTATTTTATAACAAAGTGTTGAATATCTCACGTAATTTGTCAAATATAGTACTGAATTTGTATTGCTTTTGCACCATCACAAAGTCAAAAAATCCTAAGTCCAGCCATTGCAGGTCGGGGGCCATCTGTGTATGTTCAACATTAGGCTCGATAATCAACAGAGCCCACCAAGGTTGAGACAACTACCAGAAACTTCTATAACTTTTTTTTTGTTTAAAGGAAAACTTAATATAATACAAAATATAATACAATAATTTCCAATGCAAACCTAACTGACTACAACTGCTAAGAAACTTTTTTTTAAAGTATAGTCACTGGAACAATGAAAAGCAAAAATTACAGCCTGTATTAGGAAAGTTCTTGATATTCTAAACTGACACAGCCTCTTTCCAACAGTTAAGTGGATTTGCTGAGAAACTGAAGCAACCAAGGTTAGGAAGTAAAAAAAAAAAAGAGAGAGATAAAAGTAAGTTCAATGGATTCAGAGAAAGTCATCATCCAATCAAATTAAATGCTGAACATGGTAGCACAAGGAGCTAATATTTTTATGTTCTAAAAAGTACCAAAAAATTTAAGCCTTTAGAACATTGAGGCATTACCAAAACAAAACAACGTGCTTTAACATTTCTAAAAGCTGTGCTCTTATGGAAAGAGAGATGTGTTCTCAGATTCTCCTTTCTAAGCTTTACATTTATGAGGAGAATGCATCTAAAATGCATTCAATTTCACTATCCAGTATCCTCACTTTTCCTTCCACATTTGATATACAGGTTACTTTTTCAATACTAACAACATTGCACTTTTGCCACTTACAAAAATAATTCCTTTTTTTGTGTTTGCCTTTATATTTTTGCAAGGGATGGCAAAAGGAAGTGTTACCATGTGCTGTGAGTATGCAGATATTATGGAATCTACAGAATGCTCACCAGAGGAAGATTCTAGATACACTACACTTCTTCAAAATGGAAGCAAAGTAACATATTCACCAACCTGTATTATGCCTGACTACAAAGCAAAGATGTGTGTTGCGTGCATGTATCCACATATCTATATATTACTAGCTAGTAAATGCCATGAACCAGCTGTTAAACTAAATATTTTGTGTGTGTTATCCCTTACTTAATCCATAAAACAAATATGTCATTACTCTGATCAGTTTTATAAGGAATGTAATAGATGTTTAAAGGAATTAGGTAACTTTGCCAAGATCAACCCTGATGGATATGAACACCCTAAAGCCAACATTTTGCATCACTGTACTACATGGTCTCCCAGACCATGACCATCCCAAGCAAAGTTCAGCCCTAAATACCAACATTTGGCCTGAGCAGCAAGAGTAACAACAGTAGATACCATACACTGAATACCTGATTTGTTGCAAAATCTGGGCTAATCACTTTAAAGCTTTACCTTGCTTGGTCTTTATACAAATACTATGTGTACATATTAGGTGACATTATCTCTATTTTATAGACAAAGCTTTTGAAACTAATTGAGATGAAGCGAACTGTCAAAGGTCTCATACTCTGAAGAGATAGAGGTGTGGTCTGAACCCAGGTATGCTTGACTCTGAAACCTGCTTTCTTAACCATTAAGCCATACTGTCACCAAGAAGAGTAAGTAATGGGAACAGAAAAATAATAAGAGATATATGACTTTCTGTGTTTTAATTCATAAAATTGTTATTAATTCTCTATTGTCTTGTGTTATAGTTTGATTGTGTCCTCTCCAAAATTCATGTTGAAATTTAATCTCCAATGAAATAAAGTTGAGAGGTGGGGCCTTTACAATGTGATTAGGTCATAAAGGTCCCTCTCTTATCAATAGGATGAAGGCCTTTGTAAAAAGAGGGCCCACACAGCATTCAGCCCTTTTTGCCCTTCAGTCTTTTCCGCCATGTGAAGACACAGCTAGAAGGATCCATCTTGGAAGCAGAGACAGAGCTCTCACCAGACACCAGATCTGCCAGTGCCTAGATCTTAGATTCACTTCCTAGCTTCCAGAACTGTACAGAGCTGTGAGAAATAAATGTCTTTTCTTTATAAGTTATTGAGGCTTAGGTGTTTTGTTAGAGCAGCACAAATGGACAAAGACACGCTGCAAACGATAATACCAGAATTGGTAAAGGCACAAGTAACGGGCACACTTAGTCACATCTGTAAGCAATGTGTCACAGAATAACCTGGAAGAAACAAGGCACAGGGCATCAAAAGCCTTACAAATGCTCCCATCCAATAACTGTACTTCCCACCCATCTTCATTACATTAGTGTTAGAAATGTCTTGAAAATGTGGTTACACACTGCATAATAACGTTTCAGTCAATGATAGACCACATATTCAACAATGATCCCATATGATTATAATATCACATTTTTTTTTTTTTTGAGACGGAGTCTTGCTCTTGTCACCCAGGCTGAAGTGCAATGACACAATCTTAGCTCACTGCAACCTCCGCCTCCAGGGTTCAAGTGATTCTCTTGCCTCAGCCTCCCAAGAAGCTAGGATTACAGGTGCATGCCACCACCCCCGGCTAATTTTTGTATAATACCACATTTTTACTGTACCTCTTCTGTGTTTAGATTGCTTAGATACACAAATATTTACCTCTGTGTTACAACTGACTACAGTATTCAGTACATCATCACGTTGAACAGGTTTGTTGGCTAGGAGCAACAGGCTACACCACATAGCCTAGGTGTGTAGTGTCTATGCCTTCTAAGTTTGTCTAAGTACACTATGACATTCACGCAGTGACAAAACTGCCTAATGGAACACAGCCCTGCCATTAAGTAGCACTTAACTGTACTACAGGAATCTTGCTTTCCGAGTGTAACCTTTTGAGAAGAGACACTGTTTCAACATGAAGCTATATGCCCACCTTCTACTTTAGGAGTTACTGATACCAAGTTATAGCACATGGGCAGCCCACCCCTTGTTTGGAAGTAAAGATTTATAAGAGCACAGCCATCTCGCTTGTTTATATATTACCTGTGGCTGCTTTGATGCAGCAACGGCAGAGTAAGAGATTGCAGTAGAGACTACGTGGCTCAACAAAGCCATGACCCCTTAAAGAAAAAGGTTTCCGATTTATGTTCTAATTTTTAGTTCTATAAAACTCTAGAACACAGACTTTAACTCAAAATTTAAAACAACCTAGCATTTGGGTTTTCCAGGTTAATTCCTATCCCTAATAGGTAGTACAGACTGACCCAAATTAAGCATGTGCTGGTTTGGTTATCTCTGAAAAAAATATCAATTTAAACAGATATAAAGGATCACAGCCCCGTTCTGAGATTTGCCTCACCTTCCTGAGAATACTGACAAGAAACACTGAAGTTTTTCTCATGTTTAACCAATACGAAAAGGTACAAATGGATACTCATCTCCGAAACTATAAGACAATCAACAATATAGAATAAGCAGTACTCTCCGGATTAGAAAGAATATTAGAGAAAAAATACCACAAACCTTGTGTATTCTTGAAGGACATAATGGCCTGTCTGTAGGGGTTTGGCACATCTGAGGCATCTGTCAGATTGGCCAACACTAGCAGAAGCAGGAGACTCTGGTTGGCCAGAGGGGAAGAAAGTTCTGGAGACGCAGCCGCTTTGCTGCCCACACCACCTAGTGTGAAGACAGTCCAGAGTCCTGCTGGGGAGGAAAACACATTGTTAGGATGTACCACCACCATGAGATGAATGTATTTCTTTCTGTACAGTATTCTGTGTAATATAATACAATATTGTAATGAGCAGTTCCAAAGCGTAGAACAAGGATCATGTCTATACATTCCACAAAGCCAGAAAAATCCTCCTTTATATAAAAACTAGACAAAGATGGACTGTTTTTAAAACAAAATAGAGAAATACAGATTTTTATGATTAGTCTAAATTTTTTAAAAAAGTAAATGAAATCTAATAGAAAAATTTGCTAAAAAAAAATTAATGTAGGCCAGGTGCAGTGGCTCACACCTGTAATCCCAGCACTTTGGGAGGCCGAAGTGGGTGTACCATGAGGTCAGGAGTTCGAGACCAGCCTGGTCAATACGGTAAGACCCTGTCTCTACTAAAAATATAAAAATTATCCAGGTGTGGTGGCACGTGCCTGTAGTCCAAGCTACTCGGGAGACTGAGGCAGAAGAATCACTTGAACCCAGGAGGCAGAGGTTGCAGTGAGCCAAGATGGCACCACTGCACTCCAGCAGGGTGATGAGTGAGACTCTGTCTCAAAATAAAAATAAAAATAAATGCATTATGATCAAGAGGCTTTGTCTCTAAAATACAAGAACTGTTCACCATTTTAAAACAATATTTCAATTTTTTAAAATAAAAAATATGGTCATCTCAAGAGTTTCCACATTTTCATATATATATTTAAATATATATTTTTTAAACTTAAAAACTACAAACCACTGCCCAAGGAAATAAGAGAGGACACAAACAGACAGAAAAACATTCCATGCTCATGGTTAGGAAGAGTCAGTATCATGAAAATGGCCACACTGCCCAAAGGAATTTATAGAGTCAATGCTATCCCCATCAAACTACCATTGACCTTCTTCACAGAACTGGAAAAACCACCTTAAAGTTTATATGGAACCAAAAAAGAGCCTGCATAGCCAAGACAATCCTAAAGAAAAAGGACAAAGCTGGAGGTATCACACTACCTGACTTCAAACTATACTACAAAGCTACAGCAATCAAAACAGCATGGTGCTTGTACCAAAACAGAGATATAGACCAATGGAACAGAACAGAGGCCTCAGAGGCAATGCCACATCTACAACCATCTGATCTTTGACAAACCTGACAAAAGCAAGCAATGGGGAAACAATTCCCTGTTTAATAAATGGTGTTGGGAAAACTGGCTAGCCATGTGCAGAAAGCAGAAACTCGACCCCTTCCTGACACCTTACACTAAAATGAACTCCACATGGATTAAAGATTTTAATATAAGACCTAACACCATAAAAACCCTACAAGAAAACCTAGGCAGAACCATTCAGGACATAGGCATAGGCAAGGACTCCATGACTAAAACACGTAAAGCAATGGCAATAAAAGCCAAAATAGACAAGTAGGATTTAATTAAACTTAAGAGCTTCTGCACAGCAAAAGAAATAATCATTAGAGTGAACTGGCAACCAATAGAATGGGAAAACATTTTTACAAGCTACCCATCTGACAAAGAGCTAACATCTAGAATCTACAAAGAACTAAAATAAATTTACAAGAAAAAAACAAACCCCATCAAAAAGTGAGTATATGAACAGACACTTTTCAAAAGAAGACATTTATGCAGCCAATAAACATATGAAAAAATGCTCATCATCACTGGTCATTAGAGAAATGCAAATCAAAACCATATTGAGATACCACCTCACACCAGCTACAATGCCGATCATTAAAAAGCAGGAGACAACAGATGCTGGAGACGATATGGAGAAATAGAAATGCTTTTACACTGTTGGTGGGAGTGTAAATTAGTTCAACCACTGTGGAAGACAGTGTGGCGATTCCTCAAGGATGTAAAAATAGAAATGTCATTTGACCTGGAAATCCCATTACTGGCTATATACCCAAAGGAATATAATCGTTCTATTATAAAGAAACATGCACAAGTATGTTCATTGTGGCACTGTTTACAAGAGCAAAGACTTGGAACCAACCCAAATGCCCATCAACGATAGGCTGGATAAAGAAAGTGTGGCACATATACAGCATGGAATACTATGTAGCCATAAAAAAGGATGAGTTCATGTTCTTTGCAGGGACATGGATGAATCTGCAAACCATCATTCTCAGCAAACTGACACAAGAGCAGAAAACCAAACACTGCATGTTCTCATTCATAAGAGGGTGCTGAACATTGACAACACATGGACACAGGGAAGGGAGCATCACACACTGGGGTCTGTTGGTGGGTGGTGGCTAGGGGAGGGATAGCAGGGGGTGGGGATATTGGGGAGGAATAACATTAGGAGAAATACCTAATATAGGTGACGGGGGGATGGAGGCAGCAAACCACCATGGCTCGTGTATACCTATGCAACAATCCTGCAAGATCTGTACATGTACCCCATAAAGTAAATTTTTTTAAAAAAATAGAAAAATAAAAGTCTTAAGGAAAGAAAAATTCTTACAAACTAGAAAGGGAAGGACACTTCTAACCAAAAATTCATAGTGGTCAAACATTGTAAGTATTCCCATTAATATCATCAATATCAGCATGGTACTACTCCAAGCAAAAACATTAAGGCAAAAGAAAAAAAGACCAAAAAAAAAAATTAAAGAAAAAGTTTCACTATTTGCAAGCAACATGCTGGTCCACTTAGAAATCCACTGTCCAGTACAATGGCCACTAACCACTTGTGGTTACTGAGCATTTAAAGTGAGACTGCTTAGCTCAAATCACATTGTGCTATGAGTACAAAATACACATGAAATTTTGAAAATACCCAAAAAAGAAAGTAAATTATCTCACTAATATTTTATGCTAAATACACACTGAAATATTTTAGATACACTGGGTTAAAGTTTTAAAATTACTTTCACCTGTTTCTTTTTACTTTTTGAACATGACCACTAGAAAATGTAAAATTACCTATGTGGCTTCTATTACATTTCTATCGGACAGAGTTAGTTGCTCTAGAATATCAAAGAGAATCAGCTGACACTCTATTATTGACACACTATTAGAGCTAATAGATTTTGGTGCACTACTATAGCTAGATGGTCAACACAACAATAAAAATCAAAAGCTCTATATACAATAAATAATTAGAAAATATATTTAAATCCAATCAAAATAGCAACAAATCCAATAAAATATTCAGGAATAAACATAAAAAAGGACCTTTAGACTGACAACAACAGAATTTGACTGAAGACCATATGAGATCTGAATTAATGTAAACGCATACCATGTTTCTGGACAAAAAGAGTCAATACTATAAAAAAAAATCTAGGTTGGGTACAGTGGCTCGTGCCTGTAATCCCAGCACTTTGGGAGGCTAAGGCAGACAGATCACTTGAGGTCAGGAGTTTGAGACCAGCCTGGACAACATGGTGAAACTCCATCTCTACTAAAAATACAAAAATTAGCTGGGCGTGGTGGTACACGCTTGTACTCCCAGCTACTTGGAAGGCTGAGGCAGGAGAATCTCTTGAATCCGGGAGGTGGAGGTGGCAGTGAGCCAAGATCATGCCACTCCATTCCAGTCTGGGCAACAGAGTGAGACTTCGTCTCAAAAAACAAACAAAACAAAACAAAACAAAAAACGTCAAATCTGTCTCTAAGTAAATCTAAAATTCAGTATAATAACCATAAAAATACCAACAAAACTTTGTTATATTTTGTAGTACAGTATAAAGCACTGCTATATGAAAAAATACATAAGAAAACAATTCTGAGATTGAGCTGGGAAGATTATACATCCATTCACACAGTAAAATTTTTATAAAGCTATGGTCATGCAAAAGTGTGATTTGGCAGCAGAGCAGACACAGGTCAACAGAAGAGAAATTAGGTTAGAACAGAGCTACATATATTTGACAATTAAGATTATGATAAAGGTAGTATGCCAGATCAGTAATAAAAAGTAAAATTCTGTTAAGTGTTCTTGGGACAATAAAACTTTCTTAGTACTTAATTATAGAAGTATCTGTATAAACTTTGAGTTAGGGAAGCCCTTTTCTTATTCAAGAAACAACATTCAAGAATATATGAAGAACACCGATTTGACCATTTAAACATTAAATACTTTTACAAGATACAATACATCATAAAGTTAAGGCAAGTAACATATGAGAAAGAAAACATTTATAACATGTATAGCAAAAGGATTTAAAAAAAAATCTACAAATCAATTAAAAAAATAGTAATCCAAAATTAAAATGTGCAATAAGGAAGGCTGAGGTAGGAGGACTGCTTGCGCCCAGGAGTTCAAGACCAGCCTGGGCAACACAGTGAGACTGTGTCTCTACAAATAATAATGATTTAAAAAGAAACAGCTGGGCATGGTGGTGCATGCCTGTAGTCCCAGCTACTCAGAAGGCTGAGGCAGGAAGATGACTTGAGCCCAGGAGATCCAGGCTGCAGTAAGCTGTGATTGTGCCACTGCACTCCAACCTGGGCAACAGAACATGCCCCTATCTCAAATGTGTGTGTGTGTGTGTGTGTGTGTGTGNTGTGTGTGTGTGTGTGTGTGTGTGTGTGTGTGTGTGTGTGTGTGTTTATGTATGTGTATACTTACATACATCTCCAAACGATAAAAATAATTTTTAAAAATGTAATGCTGGTGAGATGACTCATGAGACTAGAAAATTTTTAAAAGAACTGATAATACTCAGTAGTAACAGCAAAGGTATAGAAAATTACCAACAGTAACAGGCCAAAGTGATACAGGACTTTTTAAAGCATATTTGGCAGTTTTCATTGAAAATACAATATACACACTCATCGACCCAGCAATTTTTTTTTTCTATACCAGAGAATACTTGAATACGTACATACAAAAGCATGTATAGGAATGTTTGCTGTGATATTGTTTATAATGGTCAAATAATGTAAACATATAAATGCTCACCAGTAACAATGGTAACATAAGCTATGGTTAACCTATACCATAGAATACAATATAAAGAGGTAGA